CTATATATCTCTTGTAACGAAACTTCAAACTCGTCTCGGTGTGAACGGCCTGTAAACTGAGATTTCTGACTGGACCAGAATGAGTCATTCGATAGAGGCACGGTGACACTGCAAAACAAATATTAAAAAAAAAATACTTTAACATACGTGCAGTCACATCACAATGTAATTTCTGAGGCCCCGTCCACACTACGCTGGAGGTATTTGAAAACGCAGCTTTATTTCTACGATTAGGCCTACTGTCCACACTAAGCCATCACGAAAACGGAGCTTTTCGAAAACACTCTTCAAACTGGAGGAATTTGAAAACGCCGGCTTTGCGTTTTAGTGCGGACGGAAAACATTTTAAAAACGAAGTTTTTGGAAAACGGTGACGTCACGATAATCACGTGATTTCCATGACCGAGTTTTCCTCAAACACAAATCCAAAATGACCGGTGATTGTTGCGTTTTCAAATTTCTCCGGCGTAGTATGGACGGAAAACATTTGATGCGTTTTCAAAATAAAACCTCCGCTTTCAAATTCCTTCGGCGTAGTGTGGACGGGCCCGAGATGCTTCACACTGCACTAATGAATTAAAATTGGAATTACTGTAACTAGCTTTTCAAGTGTGGTTTTAAACTAACCGCTCAGATGACAACCAGTAGTTTAGAAGACCTTGTCCCAAGATTACAAGAAAATGTGAAAAATTCACCTTAACACAGAAGAGCAATGAATTTCCATCTAACTTGGATGTCAATAACCTCGGAGGCTGAAAATTTGACACACAAAAAGAATTCCCGTTATTAATGACTGCCACTCAAGTAAAGTCACTCATAAGACTGTTCTTGCCAAGTAAAAGAAAGTAGTTTTTTGGCTGCCTTGGGAGCCAATGGGCAGATCAGATAGTAAAAGTTTTAGAAAACACTTCTTGCCTCCAACCGGCTCTGAGAACAGCAGAATTCACTTTTGTCTATTTTTTTTTAACCCTAATTAAACAAACATAGATAAACAAACGGTCAAGTTGCATAGTAATTATGGAATTTAAGCGTAGGAAAAACTTGCGCTTGCACAGTGTAAGTTCACTTCTTACGTAAGCTGCAAACAAGCTGTGAAACCATTTATACAAGTGGTTTCACGTCTTATATAAGTCGCGGCTTATTTAAGCTGAGCTCAAAACCCTCCTCTTACACAAACTGCGACTTGTGTAAGACGTGAACTGGTTAAAATGTATCATTTATATAGGTAAGTTTGGCCTTACGTAAGCCACAGTTTGTGTAAGCCGCAGCTTAATGTCCTCACATAAATGGCCCTATTGACTCACAAAATTAACAATAAATTTATATAAAATCCTTACAAAATAAACGCGTGTGGACAGGTTACAAGTCCGGATAAATTACTTTGAGTAGTCTTGATATACCAACAAAATATCAGAATTAACATTGAAAGGAATGTAAGAGAGTGTGTAAGGGGAATTTATAATTTAATCTTGGGACTTAATAGGCCTGGATCTCATGGACATGGGAAGTGATCTGATGAATACTAGTCAAGAGCCTTCCAGAAGAGCTCACATGTTAAGAAAGTTTATCCTGAAGCTTCAAGAGTCTTTTCTTGTGATTGAGAAATGTCCACAGCCTGTTATCGCAGCCATTCACTCAGGGTGTGTTGGCGGGGGAGTAGATATGGTGTGTAATTGCGACATTCGCCTTTGTTCGGCAGATGTGTGGTTTCAAGTGAAGGTATGTTTGTCTTGATGATCGTTTTCTCACTCTAAGTTGACTCAATGTAGAGTGGCCTATTTCCAGGGGATGTTCATTGTACATAGTTTTAGTAGTTAAGAAAGTGCTCAAAAGGTACAAAGCGGGAACTTTTGCAGTACCTTTTGGGTATTGAGCTGAACAAAATATGATAGAAGTGTTGTTTTATGATATTGGTACCTCTTAGGGGTGAATAAAAATTTTTAGCCACACCCTCAAAACGGGATGTTGGAAACTCTAAGGGATTCTTTTCAAAATTTCTGACAGACACCCCTGTCCTTTTTATATGGGAGTTCCTCCCCCCCCCCCCCCCCCCCCCCCCCCCCCNAGTCGTTCTCGCACTCCAGAAACTAAACTCCTTATAAATTGATATTCTGAACTCTTTCAGCCGTATCAGTGCAGACCGTGACAGCATGGTGAAGGATGCTTTGGACCTCGCAGGTCAGATAGCAAAGAAAAGTCCTGTTGCCACGGCAGGCATCAAGCATAACCTTAATTTCTCAAGAGATCACTCAGCGCAACAGGGCTTAGAGTATATGGTGAGTACTACGGAGAACTTAAAGGAGCTACATCACTGTTTTGTTCGTTCTGAAAAGTTTGAGAACAGCTCCCAAAAAAAACTGTCGGTCGACTGTCGGCTGACAGTCGGCGGAGCGACAGTCAGCTGACATTCGATCGACCGTTTCTCTCAGGGACTTGTTCTTCACAACTACGGACAATATTGAAAGACTTTGCCGTACGAAGACACTTATCAAAGTGGAAATATCACTCTGTGATCGTTCAATCTCGGAAAAAAGTTGAGGAACTTCGAAGACTTTCCCAAGACTGTCATTCCCCGTTTTACTTTTAGAGTTTTTAAAAAAGCTTTATTATGATTCTAGAGAACCAGAGAAAAAGCTTTAATAACTTTTAATACGGCAGCTTTTTAATTTGGAAACTGGCCGTAGTTTACAGCTGTGTCAAAGAACCGTTAACGTCCATAATTCCATTTCTTTTTTTCTTTTAGGCCACATGGAATATGGCTATGTTGCAAACTGAAGACATTCTAAAAGCTGTACAGGCTGGAATGAACAAAGAAGACCCTGTCTTTTCCAAACTTTAACCTTTGCCGAGCGTATAAACATTTTACTGTCGTTACAATATACTGAAATGCTTGCCGCGTAAGCTTTCGATCTAGACCGCTGATTTGTTTATAATCGACCTTGTATTCCTAGAATCAAATAAAGTGGACGTCAAGATATGTACGGGTAGCATAAAATGCTGAAAGTTTTGGCCGGTTTAAGAATTCTTGTTTCCTTAAACTTCTTAAAATTAAAGTCGGGAAAAATAATCAACATTTGTGTGCTCTTTTATTGGGAACGGGTGCTGTGGATAGCACGGTCAGCATAGACATCTGTTTTCAAAATTACCTGACTTTTCCCTGATAAAAATAAAACTTCCCTGACCAGGAAAACACAAAATGTCAGAGACAGAAGCGGCCTTCAGCCTCCCCTTACAGCCGTCAGTTCAGTGACAGTTTGTGCAGGGCCTTGTCTACACTACGCCAGAGGAATTTGAAAACGGAGGTTTCACTCTGAAAACGCATCAAATGTTTACTGTCCACGCTACACCGGAGGAAACTCACATTATCATAATGCCATCGTTTTCAAATATCTCCGTTTTCAAAATGCTTTCTGTGCGCAAAGCAAAGCCGGTGTTTTCAAATTTCCCCCGGTTTGAAGAGCGTTTTTCGAAAAGCTCCGTTTTCGTGACGGATTAGTGTGTGGACGTTAGGCCAAATTTCAAATTCTTCCGGCGTAGTGTGGACGGACCTCAGATGACAGTCGCCTGAAATGTTTCTCCCGAACTTTAACAGTGTTAGACTTTCAATTTTCCTCTGACAAAATAAAATCGGTTGACCTATCCCTGACATTGGAGAATTTTTTTTTCCCTTACCTATGACAACCCTGGCTAAAGAGGCAAAACGTAAGTTACGTAGGCTTTTATAAATCGTCGTATGGAGAATTACGTCACTTTGTTACAAGTTACCTCTGAAGTAAAAAAATACACCGTCCATTAAAAGTGCTTTACAAAGTAACTGGCGGTCTATCACGAGTCGGGGAGCAAACAGAGTGAGATCTGGGTACGAGATTACACACAAAGCTCACTGGCTCCTAATCATGTGAACACTGCCACGGAATAATTGGACGCCCTTTCTTTAAAAAAGCTGAGGAAAAAAAGAGCTTCTAAAAACTGTTGCCTCACGACTCGAGGTAACTCAGAAAATGGTCTATTCAACGCGATAATTTGTTTTTCGCAAGAACTTCGTGAAACATTTATAATCCCAAAGATGTAATAGCTTAAAATATTTCGACGCTACGCAAAAGGCAGTCGTTTCTGTTATAACTTTCTCGTGAAAATGCATACAAGGTTTCTTGACTTGGTTAAACTCTTTGGAAAGAGCATTATATTAATAACAAGTGAATGCGTAGTACAACTTTCAAGAGTTTAAAACTTGTAACAGTCTACAATCTCGGTCTCACCAGGTAGTAGTTACAATTCTCTCGTCTTTTACAGTTTTGTATAGCATTAACTCATAAACCCTTACAATATGGCTTGTCAAGGAAAACACTGCGTGTATAGGTTTCAAAAANTATAGAAGGGTTGAGTGTATGATAAAGGTTCAATATGACGAAAGTTCTCACCTCAATTCCTGCAAAGAAAGCAAACTATCATTGTCATCATCCTCAGAATCTGACATTTCTACAAAGCTTCTGGAGCTGTACGCCTGAAAGATATCCAAATGCAAAATAACTATCATCATCATCCTTCTAACACTTCAGGGGGGGGGGATGTGAGGCCGTGAATAAATAAAATAACTATAGTCACTGATCACTAAGTCACACAAACATTGCTTTTGGCTGAAGGACTCATGTAAAGTTTGTCAGCAGTATTGACGACGACCTCGGCTCAGGTTGTCTAACACTTCAGTCACAAATAACAGTTCTTTTCAGAACTACCCTCACCCGGAAAATCGCACAAGACAAGCTATGTATTTTGTGTTAACTTTGGACGTTATGAGGCCATGCTCATAATAGTACCTCTTTAGTGAATGAGTCTAAAAACATTTACTAACTCACAGGAACAGGAGAATGCCTCCTCACTAATCTGTCTACGCGATCTTGAATCTCTTGGCTGGAAGGTGCAAGGTAGGAACCATATCCACTGGGTTCACGTGGAAATAGTATCCTGCTTCTTGGAATAGGTTCACTATAAGCCCTTGACTCATTCAGCAGGTCGTCATCGGGTAGACGAGCTCTGACTCTAGGTGGCTCAGATGCAAAAGACGTGTACGCCGGGGTTGAGGTTGTTCTCCTGTGTGGTACATGACCAAAGCGATGCTTCAGAAAATCTCTGCCGTAGACTTTAAGGTATGCTTGGCAGACAACACAGTCCTTATGAGGAACTCTGCATTCCGGGCAGGGTGCTACAAGGTAAAAATAAATATACTCTAGTCAGTATTATTAATTATTATATGGCTTTGGCTTGTGCCCGATATAACGCGCGCTCTGATTGGCTAAGAGCGAAATCTGAGCGGGCATTATGCAGCCGTAATGCCCACGGGCCGATTACGGATTATGCAAATTAGGAAGAGCCCGGCTTGGAAAATTCAAGCGCATTGAAACGATGAAAGCCGA